GTGGTTGGCTAGGGCATTCTCACTATAGTCTGGGAAGAACACCGAGCACGTTTTACACTGGCTAAAATTGCGTTACGGTCCCAACATAGTTTCGAAGGGTTTAAGCATCTTTAGGAAAATCAAGCTGACCTCGCCATCTGAGCATAGCTTCACGACATTAGTCTCCCACAATTCTTTGAGAGGGATAGAGTGAGAGGAGAGAGCCGACTCCACGTGATCTGCCCCGGCTTTCCGTCGCCAAGACCGCCTCCAAAAAAAGCAGGAGAAAAAAAAGTTGGCTGAAGAAATACGGAAACAGAAACACCCGTCATAAGATTTGCAGCAACAAAAGCGAACCTGATCACTGTCTCGTGTTCAAGTGGTGGACCATTTATCGTCAAAGGGTTTCCGACATCTCATAGATTTTCGCCGTAATGGCCAAGACAGAAACATCTGTCTCCCTTCTGGGAACAACTGCCCCCATAGATCCTTCTCTGGCTTCCTTGTTCGCGACAAGTGTACGTTTCAGGCTTTTATCATGCCCAAGTGCAAATTGAGCTGACGCTTTTCTACAACAGGCCGGTCCAGTCAAGACTCCGACAATAACCGCTCCGGCAGAAAAGCGCGCTGCGAAAGATGAGCAAGATGACGAGAGCGAGGATGGGATCTCCGAGGCGGAAGACGAAGAAATGCAAGAGGCTCCAGAGGCTGAGAGTGATTCTGGAAGTATATCGGCGGTGAATGTCTCCGAGGCCTCTAGTCGGAAGCGGAAGAGGGCGCCGGCCGAAGAAGTCGAGGATTCGTACATGCGTCGCATAGAGAAGGAGCAGCAAAAGGAGGAACTCAAGCGTCGTGAAGAGAAGGCCAAGCGACAAAAGGTTACAGAGGGTGAAAACGAAGACGAGGGGGAGCAGCCTAATGAAAGCGACGATGAAAGCGACAGCGAAGATGAAGAGGAGACTGCGGTGCCGAAGCATGAGAGTCTTACTGGAGCCGGTGAGAACGCGGAACTGGATAAGTCTAATCGCACTGTGTTCCTTGGCAATGTGTCGAACGAGGCTATTAAGTCTAAGTCTGCTAAGAAGACGCTTCTCAAACACCTTGGGTCTTTCCTTGACTCGCTTCCAGAATCCACAGGACCCCACAAAGTCGAATCAATCCGCTTCCGCTCGACAGCATTTGCTAGCGGAAGCAAGGTACCTAAGCGAGCTGCATTTGCAAACAAGGAAGTTCTGGATGACACGACCCCATGCACAAACGCATATGCTGTGTACTCAACGGTGCAGGCGGCCCGAAAGGCCCCGGCTGCATTGAACGGCACCGTCGTCCTCGATCGCCATCTGCGTGTTGATAGCGTCGCGCATCCCGCTCAAATCGACAACAAGCGGTGTGTCTTCGTTGGCAACTTGGACTTCATTGATAATGAGACCAAACCTGATGATGAGAAGAGGAAAAAGCCGCGGGCCCCCGCAGATGTGGAAGAGGGTCTCTGGAGGGTGTTTAATGCCCACACCGGTGGGTCAAAGAAGGATAGTTCTGGCAAGGGCAGCGTTGAGTCGGTTCGAGTGGTCCGTGATTCTGCCACGCGTGTTGGCAAAGGGTTTGCCTATGTTCAGTTTTATGATCAAAACTGCGTGGAGGAAGCCCTCCTGCTGGAAGGAAAGCAATACCCCCCTATGCTCCCGCGCAAGCTCCGTGTGTCTCGAGCTAAGAAGATCATGAAGAAGCGCGATGATAGTGGCAGCAATCGAGGGAAGTCCCTTGGAGGCGCGGATAAGACACTTCAGGGTCGTGCTGGTAAACTCTTTGGCCGAGCCGGTGCAGCCAAGGTCAAGGCTGCAGGAAGGACCTCCATCTCACAGAACTCATTGGTGTTTGAAGGTCAGCGAGCCACGGAAGGAGCATCACGCATCCGAGTCAAGGGGAAGAGTCGTGGATCGAAGGCTAAGCGCAACAGTCGGAGTAGCAAGCGCGCTGCAGCATACAAGGCTGCTGGTGGTAGGAAAGGCAAGTTGGACCAGTAGGAATAATCTTCCGTTCGTTGTATGGCGCGTTTCATGTATGTAATTTATCATCCCAGATGGACATAGAAGGTTGCGAACTTGTGTAAAAGCACGACTGGGTGTGAAAGTCAAGTCAACCTTATGAGGATCCTCATGATCTATGTTTTTCAGGGCTGGTATAGGCCTACATGTTCCAAAAGTGTGCTCGTTCCTGAGTTTCGTGGTGCCGTTTGCTTCCAGGAACTCGAGACCAGTGACGTCATTGCGCGGGCGCATCCCTTATCGATTGTGATCTGCTACTAATCCATACCCAGTCTCCACATTATAATATCTGGTCACTACCCCGTCTCAACTAGAAATCAGGATAAACTTTCCACATAAAATCAATCTCGCAAGCTTGACCTCTTTTGTGAGACAACGCGACGGGTCCCCGCTCTTGTCGTCTGGCACGCATGAGGTGCAGTAGGAACATTCAAGCGCCTCACAAGCAAATGCCGGAGACGCTTCAAGCTCTATTGTTCGTCTTTGAGTAGAAGTGGATCAGCCTGGCATTCACTCACGGCCAGCAGTCCGATGCGCTTCTAGGTTCGATGAGATATAGCTTCGTACCTAACAGATTCACCCTCGCAAACGATTCGCTTATCATCCTGCAGTCTGTTGCTTGATATCAAGCGACTTATATTACCCACAATGATGCTTCCGTTCGTCCATCGACTTCGAGGGATCCGAAGACCACCGAACCCCTCAGGTAACAACAACGAGACCGGCGCTTCATCGGAGGAAGAGGCCAAGGCATTGGATAACGATGCATACTACCCTAGCTGCTACGACGTGTTGAAGGTCCGATACCTGCTGCAGCATATCTGGAAATGGAAGAGAGACTCGGAGGAGCTGTTTCCTTGTGAGCTTGTGGACATGATCGTCGATGCGGCCGAATACTGGGCAACCAGCGAGGCTCGCCTGGAAGGAATGACGATTATCCGAAAGGATCAGGACCAGGTGCTGTTAACAACCGTGCCACTGTGCTATGCTGTGGAGGTATGTCCTGACCGTCCCAAGTGACACCAGTCTCGCATCCAGTCGAATAATGGAAGCTATGACAATGATTCAAACCTACCGGAACTGATGAGAACGCATAGACATTAAGTTCCGACTCTCCCCACGTGCTCCCCCATCGTACCGCTCACCCTTGCCGCAAGATCGTGTTTACCATCTCAGCCCATGACCAGGGATGGGGTGGCGGTGCCCGCAATAAAGGTCCGTACGACGGGTCCTTTACATGGTTCGACACCCAGGTTATTCACTCGGCCCAGAAGCCGGCTCCACCAAATGGAGCACCGAGACAGGAGCAGCAGCAGCGGGTTCACTTCGAATCGGGCGATCCTCTTCTACTCCCGAGCCCTCATAAGCTACAGTCAAACCGAACGGCGGACAAGAATACCCAGCTACATCGTATCACTTGGCGTTATTTCGATAACATCCCCAGCGACTCCAGTGAAGCAGAAGACATTGAAAACAGCCAGGGTCGTGGGCGTGCAACCTTAGATGGTAGTCAAGTTCGTGCCTTAGAAGTGGGTGATGCCATCCAGATCTGGGGGAGAGCTCGATTTGGGGGATGGATCAATCATGTTGAGCGGGTGATGGTGCGAGTATTCTGGGCTGTGTGATTAGGTCGGAACGAGCTTTTCTTGCCAGTTAAGGTGGCTTGATTGACTCTGCAGGAGAGTTGACTAATGTGAGGCTTCGATTTGTTTTATAAAGAATGAATTCGGAGAAGTAGCAAGAATAGTTGATAGTTCATAATCTTGGTGTAGGAAGACAATCACATTGAACATGAATGCTCTGAATACTTGTCGATTTAGATGATCCTGGGTCTCTTGAACGACGGGTGCGAGAAGGGCCAATCTCGGACGATAAATGATATTAGATGGTCATAAACTGGCACGGCAACATCAGCATGGATCAATTGCATAGTTAAGTAGCCAGCAAATAATCGTCGTGTATATATTTTAGGCTCAAAGACGATTGTTATTGAGTTTGAAGAGCATTCTCATCTACATGATCATTCAGTGCCGGGCAACATACCCCGGATTGCCGCCGGCGGTCGTGGCACTGAGGCGGGGGAAGTTACAGTACTGGTGGCAGCCTGCCAAATCAGGCACGAGGGATGATCACCTCATTCCTATACAAAATCACGCAATTCTGTCGAGAGTCCCGTTCTGTTAAGTCTCACCTGAATATAAGGTCGCGATCTGCCTCATGGCCAGCAACGTTGGCTGCTTTTACTCTTGATGGTACACAAAGTTTGAAAATGTGAGACGGTCAATCGACCTAGGGAGAGTTCAAACTGCCTTTCCCTGTACACTAACACTATTTATTTCTTCACCCTCAACATTCCGTGTGTACAGAATGGATAAAAGAATACGCCATGACAGCAGCCGACGGAAAGCGAAGCAGCAATTCCGGTGGGGCAGGCCGCGTTGGTTGCGCAACGTCCTCAACCATTGATCAGTTGACTGACTCCCAAACAAGGAGCTGCACTGGCTCAGGAACCAGTAAGCGGGATGTTCATCACCGCCTGAACTGTTTGGACGGTGTGTGATGCGTGATTTCGCCCGAGAGTTGACGCAGACACACCATGGACGCCTGCCGTCGGTCTTTTCGGGCACCCTGCGTGGTCAATCGCCGATTGACTTATTCGCCGACTGAGCAACCCTCAACAACAGCCCTCCTCAGGCTTGCTATCTGTGTATCTTTCCAGAATGACCATGATGAGTCTCTTATTTGTCTATCCCCGAAGGGGCTCTGATTTGGTTATTTCGCCGAGAATTACTCCGGCAATCCTCTTCAATCGCCCTGAGCTTTTACCTTAAATTGCTCATTCGCCCTCTCCTCTAAAGATATTCAGCTTGCTCTTCGGATACTACATACTGTGGGTTTTCTCCACAGCGGACACTTAGAGCTTTGATACGGTATCTCGTTGCCTGAGAGTCTCTACAGCCAGAAAGCGTCCTCAGAATGGCACAGCATCAGAGATGTGCCGCGGTTGTGGTGGGAGCTGGTCCTGCTGGTTTGGCAGTCGTTGGAAGTCTACTAGAAAAGCGGCTTGGTGGAAAAATCGCCTGGGTTGATCCATACTTTCAAGGAGGTCGAGTCAACCGGAAGTATCGCGAAGTTCCCAGGTGAGTGTATCCGGATCAGGCACTCTAATTACGGTCGAGATTGTGGCCCGGGAGCATCCTAGCTGACACCACAGCATCAGCAACACCAAGGTGTCGTTTTTCCAAGCCTATGCTACCGCCGTTCAACCCTTCAGATCCGTTATTGCCGATACCCGCATGCCTAATCCTTTTACGACTATGGCCAAGCTTGACCAGGATAAGACCTGTCATCTACATCATGCTGCGGATGTGGTTTGTGCGCTCACCGACGGACTCACGAAGATGGACAATGTTCTGCCATGTCGAGGTACAGTCACAGCTGCCAATCTTTCCGAGCAAGTCAGTTCGTGCTGTTCTCCTGGTAAAGCTTCTTCTCGTAATGCTAACTTTGTGTAGACATCCGATTGGACAGTTCGAATCAAATTTCACGATTCCCAAGACGAGATTGATGTGATGACACCCCGACTTGTTCTCTGCACGGGGTCATCCCCCACGGAAGTCTCAATCCCTATTACCGGGCACCACATCGAAAGGCTGGATCTTGATCTTGTGCTGAAGCCTAGTGTACTAATCACACATCTTCCCCACAACAAGCCCTTGGAAATTGCCGTGGTAGGAGCCTCTCACAGTGCAATTCTAGCCCTACTCAACCTGGTAGACTTGGCACGCAGCTCCCATCCTGAACTCCGCATCAAATGGTTCACGCGACATCCGCTGCGTTACGCGGAGTTTATGGATGGCTGGATCCTCCGAGATAATACTGGACTCAAGGGTCATGCCGCTGATTTCGCTCGCCAGCAGTTGGAGGATGACAAACTACCCCAGTCCGAGGCCGGCCGCTTCATCACGAAGGTAGACTGCGGGGGCGGCCAGGAATCAGCCCAATACCAGCGGGTCCTGCCATCATGCACACATATAGTTCAAGCCGTGGGCTTTACGCGAGACCCACTTCCAGAGCTGTCGGTCAATGGCCGTGCATTGGAGCCTGACTTTGACTCGGTCTCAGGTGGCTTTTATGATCCCGATGGGCGCATTGTCCGAGGCCTTCATGGGGCTGGTATAGCATTCCCGGAGCGGGTGGTTGATCCATATGGCAATGTTGAACATGCCGTCGGGTTCTTCAAGTTTATGAAATACGTCAAACGGGTGACCCCGCTGTGGGCAGCTTCGTAGGTGGATGGCTCATGTTGTTTTTAATCCACTAGCGTGTTTGTCCACCTCAATGCCCGGTTCGATGGCTGTCGCCTCTGGTAGGTTCGCAGCTTGGCATTGATAGTCTTATCTAGGATCGTAATGAATAATGTGATGACATTTGCTGCGCCAAAGATTTTTCAAATTCCACTGACCACTGTCCGCGGGTTAGTGGCCCGCCTCATCTCTGAGATATGCATAACGCTTGGCCTGTTGAAGGTATTCCCAGGGCTTGTTTCCGTGCTCCCGAGCAGCTGGCCCTTATGTCGGCATCCCATGCTCGCATAGAAGATGTATCCTCATACTATCTAAGCATCGATTACAACCTCTTCAGGCAATCCATGTTTATGATATTTTGGTCCTCTTCCGTGAATAATCAGCCTATTGAACCCTGAAGTAGCAGTTTCAGTAACCATGTACGCCAGGAAGTCGGACCAGAACATCGACGTACACCGACGATTTCAAACCAATATATCACGCCTGTGCCAGATATTAAAATAAGTTCTCATGTTCCTACCCGAAAGCGACTTTTGAGACATCTAGCCAGAAAGAGAATCCCCCCCTCCCCTCCTAAAATTACACATGCCCACATCACTTTGATGACTCACTTTATCAGATTTTCCCCAAATCGATTACTGTAGCCAACCAAACATATACGCCAGGAATGAACACGACCAGGAGATGGTAAATCTACAATAGAAAGAACGAAAGAAAGAAAGAAAGAGGATCCATTCAATCACCACCAAGATATGGGTCCCAAGCCGGCCATTTGCATCGAACCCTGCCCCAGGCGTTAGTATATGATAATCCATCCCCCAAGGGGCACACAGATTGGAGTTGATGGGATTCAATAATGAAACGTACAATGATCGAATATGGTGGTTTTCGTTCAATCACGGCGGCGCCATCGCCTAGATCGGGGGCGTTGGGAATCTGATCATGCCACTCCTCCATCTCCACGCGGAAACGGACGACTTCTCCGACGTCGAAATAGAAGGTCGAGCCGTCTTCGTTCTCCCAGATCCAGACTTGATCTGCGTAGTCGCTGTTTGTCCTTTGCGTTAGTATGTGGTGGGAGGTGGGGATGTTATTGGAGAAGGGATGAAGGCTGGGTATGAGGGAAGCAGAAGGCAAGGGGGGAGGACTTACAATCTGGCTCCGTCGAGGAGAAGATCGGGAGGGACGAGAATATCGTTGAAGAATTCGACACCGACTGGAAGAAAAAACCCATGTGTCAGAAGTGGGAAATGGGCCGTCGAGACGAAGAACATGGGCTATAGTCGAAAGGGGGCGGAGAGGGAGGGGGAAGAGCCCACTTTTGATGCCATGTTCAGTAGCACTCGAGATCTTTCCGAGCATGATCTCTCCTTTGAAGGGACGGAAGACGATGAGCCGAAATTTCACTGCCATCCATGGTCAGAAAGTGAGCTTCTGCATGTTGAGGAAGAGGAGCCTTTACCGTTCACATTGACGAGTCCGGTTCCATGGCCGATAAGACCGTCCGAGGACTCGAGCAGGTCATAGAACCCAATGCACAGGCCGATTTTTTGGATCACCTGTCCCATGAGGTTTTTTAGTTCATGCGTCATATATGCTTTGGACACTCGAGGGACGGGGTAGGGGGGCAAGGGTGAACTAACTTTATTGGCATACTTCTCGTTGATATTATCTTCGAGGGCCACAGCGCTGTACTTCGAGAAATCCTCGGGGGAGATCTGGATGAGATCGGAGACAGTGGTCTGTGGAGATCCGGTCAGTCGATGTTACTTTTAGGTCAAGCACAGTTACTGCATCTAAGGAGAGCATATATGTTTCAAGGAGACTGACAAGGATGAACATGCTGGGCGAGGATGCGCACACGGCGTGTTGGTGACGGAGCCCGGGAATTTTTTTTCTTTCGTCCCAATCGAGTAATAATTTAGGTAGGAGTACAAGACACGAGAACAAGTCAAAACCTCAGAGGATGATGGGACACAATTCCATATCCCGTTTTTTCAGGTCGTTATCAAATTCTTCTCATGAAATTAAACAGATTCACCCCTCCGACGCCATGTCAGGACATGTAAAGATCACGACTCAAACAATATCCGATTAGCTGCATGCGATAAGATGCAATTCCCACCATTGGCAGGCGGCACATTGGCCTGAATTTTCTGCCTGAGGAGAATCCGCCGCCGCCGCCTCCGAGGCCTAGGTTCTATCACGTGACCCATTTGCAACTTGATGCGTCCTTCGGAACGGAAGAATCTCGGCGGCAGCTGCAGCGAAAGGTCCCATCCGCCGCCGCCCATTTTGTTATAAGAAGTAGCGCCGAGCTCGACCTCGCCGCCGCTCTCAGATCCGAGAAAAAGAGAATGGCGTGCATGTTGGCTGTCTCTGTCACCTTTGGAAGATCGATCGAGGTCTTCTCGCCATGAACAACAATCCTCAGGGGTTCTCTTTTCCTCCGCCTCCCCCTCCTCCTCCTTCCTCCCAGCAACAGCACCAGCACCAGCACCAGCACCAGCCGCACCAGCCGCCACACCAGCAGCACCCGCATCCGCAACAGCAATACCACCATGGACACAACGCTGCTCCCTATGCAGCCCAGTACAATGCGGGCTATCACGGTCAACAACGCGGCGGGCGCGCCCCCGGTGCACACTACCGAGGTCGGGGGAGAGGAGGCTACGGAAGCCATCACCGTGGCGGCGGAGGAGGGGGTGGACGTGGCGGCAGCCATTACATGGCACCCGATATGAATGCCAATCGGGGATATTCGCCTGCGACTGTCGCGGCCACCGGTCCTGGGTCTGTCGGCGGCTACACACCCATGAATTACGCGGGATACACGCCTCAGCCTCTCGCTCCCACTCCACGAGCAATTCCGACCCCCCAGTTCGCGCCTACGCGGTCACCCAATTTCCAGCATCGTACTACAGCTGCACCATCCTTCAACCCGCCCCAACCGTACGTCCCAGCGCCCGTAGCACACGTTCCTACTCCGTATCAAACCCAACAGAACTACCCCGTGGCCGCTGCACAACCTGCTCCTACATACCCTCCCACCGTACCTTCTCACAACCATGCTGCGCAAACGGTCCAGCCCCCACTCATGGGGCCGCCTATGCGCTGGGGATTTGACAATTCGGGATCGACGGGGGGCTTTTCCGGAGGGCAACGCGGGCACCAGCGAGGTGGACGCGCCTTCAACCACAACCATCACAATATCCAACCAGATAAGCAAATGAACCACGGCATTAAACGGGATCATAACTCAGCTTTTGGGCGCCCACCTCAGGCAAGTGCGCCTCGAGTTGCGGCACCACCACCGGTCCCTAGTTTTGGAAACCCTCTGCTGCCCTCCAAACCACCTCCAACGGCTGACGCCGCTCGAAAGCCAAAGAAGAAGAAGAGAAAGCATAACCAACTTGGTTTGACGCCGAAAACAGAAGATCATGAGTCTAGTGAAGAGGAAGACGATGTGGATGAGGAGGCACGGCTGGCCGCGGAAGGAGGAACTGGGGCAGTGAGCGCTTCTGCGCCTCTGCAATTCACTTACAGGGGACGAACTTCGACGTTACAGTCGCCTGAGGACATCAAAGCGTGGATCGAAGAGCGGAAGAAGCGCTTTCCGACCCAGGCGAGAGTCGAAGAGAAGAAGAAAGCCATGGAGGAGGCTAAGAAAGCCCGAGAGGAGGCGTTGCGGCAGAGGAGGTTGCAGCGACAGGAGCAGAAAGCCCCGCAGAAGGATTCAAAGAACCAGAAAGGGCGCGAGCAGCAGGGCCAAAAGGACGGGCAGAAGGATTATAATGATCCTGTCGATATTGCTGCGAAGGCCAAGCTCAAAGCGGACAAGCTGCGGCGAAAATTGATGAGAGAAGAAAAGCGGGTCGCTAAAGCTGAAGCCGATGCTGAGAGGGCCCGTATGAAGGTGGAGGAACTCCAAAAGAGTTCAACAAGCACATCCGCCGATCAGGCTCAGCCTGTTGCCCCAAGAGAAACTGCCCCGGATATTCTGATCAAGCCACCCGAGCCCACTACGCTACCAGCGGGTGCTCCAGCTGCGGAGGAGCTTGTTCCTGCAAATGACGCGAACGCACAGGCTGCGGTGATTCGGGTCGACGACGGAGCCAGCGTATCGTCCCTAGACGACTCTGATAGTAGTGACTGGACATCTTCCAGCGGATCTGAATCATCTTCTGAGGATTCTGATGACAGCGACGATGATGCTGCACCCGAGGAAGCCACATCCAAACGCGAAGGGCCGGAGCGAGTGCCACCCCCGGCTCGCGAACCGAAGAAGAAGGTATGCCGGCATTTTGCCCGTAATGGCCGTTGTTTGCATGGGAATCGGTGCAGGTTCTCGCATGAACTGCCCGAGCGAGGAGCCAAAACAAAACACGCGGAGCAAAAGGGACGAAAGGGACTTCTTCAAGCGGTAAGTGTTCTTTGTCGGACTCCCAAGTCCCGCACATTCCAACTAACAAGCACAATCATCAGCTTTTGGATCGTCAAAAAACCGAGGATGACCGTAAGGTGATGGAGGCAATTGTTTGGCTTGGAGAGAACGGCATGCTCGATACACCGAAGGAGCCAGAGGACAGCAACGGCGCGACATCTCTCGCCGAGGAGGTAAAAGCTTCACCCGGAAATGAGGAGCGCCAGGATGAGGAGGAGGTGGCAGTGGTGTCCGCGAGTACGGCTCCCGGACAGGGGGCCGATGCCGCTGCTACTCCCACGATGGCATAGATGAAGATGACTGCATGACTTATAGTTAGACGTTATTTCCAGCGCCATTACAGCGGTAATGCAATGTACATACATTCATACACACTTCTCATGTTTACAATACAAAAAAAAATTGGTAGACCACACTTGCTATGCACGGTACGGGGGAGCATGGACTGACTGACTGACTGACTGACGCCCGACACCGTCCCGCCAAGTCCAGCAGCTGCTCTTCGCGGGTTTTCTCCGCCGAGTCGGCTAGATCTCCTTAA